TCTAAGGGCGGTTACCCCTCTTTCTACAATGCCGATGATTCTCAGCAATTTTTCGCCAAAAAAAAAAAATTAACAGCCCTTGACTGAAAAGAAAAGGCAATAAAAATAGAAAAGCTATTGCGCGGTTTATACACCTAGTCATCGTCCTCGTTATGGTTATCCTGCTCATCCTCATCGGCCGTCATCAGCATCAGCAATGGTCACTACTCATAAGGCTGTGATGGTACTAGAAAATTTTGTTATGTTGGAATCTGTGAATGGAGGCAACCGGACCCGTATGTTGGCTGGGCAAAACCCAGATGGCATTATTTCAAAATGGGTTCTTTTCCTCCTCGTCACATGCAACTGGGCTTTGCAACCATGGCTGTCTCCTTCCTCCTTTTCCTAATTTATTTATTTTTTCTATATTATCTGAGCCTTACTCTATAAGTACTCTAACTCCATCGTTAGTGTGTGTTGTTTGAGATAGACATTTTACTTTGCAATTTTTATCTGGAAGCAAGCATATTGCTCTAGCATTATGGAAATCCTCCAAATGGTGGTTTATATATTACTGGTCGATAGCTCAGAGAATGAGGCAAACAGAGTGATGGGATTTATTTTAGAATGGTGGTTGCCCCTCTCTGTTTGAGCCTATGATTTCTTCATTAATTATCCAAAAATAAATCCTCCAGACGCGGACGTGCTGATTGGGCACGTCCGCGTCTGACACAACAGATCATCACTGATTTTGTATCTCCCGGGGGATGTGCCCAGTCAGCACGTCCCCGTCTGACACATGCTAAGACCAGAAGCAGCTTTTTCAGCCACGGACGTGTCCAGTCAGCATGTCCGCACTGACACCCTCTGCACCACTGAATTTTTTGCAGACAAGATTTCGGTGGTATATTTAATTATGCGGCCGTGCTGACTCAGTACGGCCGCTATAGAATGAGAAACATCCCATGTCAGAGGTGTATTTGGCGGTTGTTTTTTTTAAATATAAATATTCTACGGAATTAGCCATTAAAATGAGGCGGAGGGAGTATCATAATCTTTTTGGGGATAATTATCCAATCTAAATAATGTCTGAAACGAAGCAACCCTATGCCACGTGGTATGAATGCGGACCGGTGTAATTAGATCCTCGGACAAATTTTCCAGTTTCCACCAGATGGAGAGATTGGGCAGACGATTCTAGCCAAGATTGGTTTTTCCGTTCTTATCTCATTTTTTTTGTCGAAACAACTACTCCCTCCGTCCCACTTTGATAGTCTTATTTTCCTTTTTCGTTTGTCCCAAATTGTAATCCACTTTCCCATTAAGAAATGTAGTAATCTTTCAAATTGTCTAAAATACCTTATTAAATATCTTGTTATTAATACATTGTTATTAAATACTAACCCACTACATTGAATACATTGAGTTTTTCCAATACTAACCCATTAGCTATAACTGATATTAATTGGCACTCTTCGTGATTAGCATAAGGGTATTTTAGGAAATTATTAATCTAAATTTATGTTTCCAACCAAATTAATTACACTTTCTTAATCTGTGTGAAAAAAAAATCAAGACTAACAAAACGGGACGGAGGGAGTATTATACTCCCTCCCTTTTTTTATAACTGACGTTTAAGAAATTTGCTCTTAAGTACTTTTATCTGTCGTTTTATTATCCCCATGCAGCATTAATTATTTTTTCACAATTTTACCCTTTTATCTCTCTTTTCATAATTGGTGGGAGTTAGTTTGCATTGCTTTTGACCTAGTAAAACAGCACCATTTAATACTCTAGTGAGAGAAAATATGAGTGAATTGGACAATTAATGAGGGTACAAAAGGAAAGTAGTGTATAGATTTAAACAATGAAAAACTTTTCTTAATTGGTGTGCAAAACCTTAAACGTCAGTTATAAAAAAAGGGAGGGAGTATATCTTAAACTAAACAAACAGGAGCAACTTCGGTTTTACCGATAAGGAGAATATTAATGCCAACCCTTTATTTGTTAACAGTAATCACTTGACATTTTTACCATATGAATTAGAAAAACACTTTCTTATTTTTCATTGAACTTATAACTATCACTTCTTATAAATCATTAAATTATACTCTCTCTCCGTTCCACTTTTATATTCCTTTTTTCACATTGTTTAAAAAAAAAAATTAATTAACTTTGTTGGCAGGGTAAATCCAGCCTACCATTTTTTTTTAAAAATGCCTTTATATTAATAGGAATATGACTAATTACTACCTTTACATTAATCACAACAATAATTCTATGGAAAGTTGCACCATTTAAGGCATGAATCTAAGCAATTAAGAATAAGATAGGTTATACTAATAGATAACAAAATACATTAAATAAGGATATTTTAAAGAAATTATAAGTTAAGTATATTTTTCAACTGCAAAGTGGAATATAAATTGAAACGAATGAAAAAGAAAACTGGACTATTAAATTACAAATGGAAAGAGTAATTAAAATACTAAAAATGAAAATGAAGTGTATGAACGTTTTTATCCTTCTCATAAGTAAGTTAAAATTTTTTTTTATATTTTTTGTAAATTTATTTTTTAATTATTTTTTTACTTCATATTCATTAAATTATTATAGTACAACTTTTTTGCAAAAATTTTAAAAAATAGCAATCCAAAAGAACTCTTTTAAGTTTAGACAATTGTGCTATATGTGGTACTGCATTTAGTATCTTTTTTTACTTTGTCCTGTATATAAAAATAAATAATAGAAGACAGCAATTGATAGGAGCAATCATTTAAAAAAAGAAAAAGGTATGTTGACTGAGTTGCCCCTCCCATATCCTCTTCCTCCCACTAGTCCATGTCACATGCTCCTCCCATTCACTTGTGGACTGTGATCTCACATCCTCCTTTCTAACCCCGACTTCCTCCCCCCTCTCCCCATCCCTCAACTCCCCTTTTATATAAGTGCAGAAAAAGTGTAACACACACACACAAACACACACAGAGTTTGGTATAAGTAAAGTCTAACGAGTTTTAAAGAAAGATCTCGACAGACACACACACACACCCATATTAAAGAGGAAGAAAGGGGGAATAAAAAGATTGAACGACTCTCAAACGTTAGCGAAACAAAAGAGGATGGCTGGTTTACAAAGATCTGCTGTATCATTCAGAAGACAAGGCTCCTCAGGTCTAGTATGGGATGACAAGCTTCTGTCAGGTGAATTGGGTCAGCAGCCGGCGCAACCCACCGACCAAAGAGAAGACCACCACCTCCTTCACTCCGGGACTACTGATAACAGCGACAAGCAGCCTCGACAAGAAATACTACAAGCCCAACCCCACGGCAAGCAACAAGAAGCCAAAGAAGAGGTCGCCGCCTCCCGGGTTTCACCAAGAACCGTTGTTGGATCGATTGAGAGGAGCCGATCCAACGGCGGCGGACCCCGTTATCGCACTGGTAGGGTGTCTCCGGCGATAGAGCCGCCGTCTCCGAAGGTTTCGGCATGTGGGTTTTGCACTTGCAGTGCTTTTGGGAAACCACCACCTGAAAAGACTCGTCGGAGACCTCCCAAGCATGCGGGTAAGCGTACGATGTGATTCGGATGTTTCAGTGTATATGTGGGGAGTCATTTAAAGTTGGTGTTTTTCCGGTGGCCGGAGATGGGACATTCTGGTGGGGCGGGGCCTCCTATTTATGGGATTAGGTCGTAGGAGTCGTCGGTTGTCAGATGTCCAGTTGTTCAGCTGAACAGAAAGGATGAGGTGTAAGAATTTTTGGAGCTAAAAACTAAAACAAAATTAATGCTTTTGTCTTTTTTTTTTTGTGGTTAGTTTCTGGACCAGGTTGTTGTACTCTTGTAGACTGGCGGGGGGGATAATTCTGTTTCTTCTGCTGGATGTAATATGTGAATATATTGTCAGAAATATTTCGGAGCATTTGTTAAAGTTGTTTTCAGTGTACAAACTACGAAACAAATGTAGTAGCTCAATTCAGAATCTTTCCAGCTTTAACGGATCTATTTCTGTCAAATTATCATCTCGACCAATGCCATTGGGATTTGCGTTTACTGTCGGTCTTCTAGCGAAAGAAAACAGAATCACCGATTTTCATGCAAGTTTCTAGAAATCACATTCGAAGAAGAAGTATCAACTGTGGCGTCTGAAGAAAGTAGCATTGGGTCGAATTTTCGACAGGCTCGCGAGTATGAAATATATATAGAGCACACGTTTAATCCCAGTCAGGGGTTCTTGGTGGTTTTAGGTTATCTAACTTCAACTAATCAGCTGGCCGCCAGAGCTTCCGGGCTTTGGCCTTTTGGTACTACAGCATATTAGGAGTAGCAAGACTGCTTAGTTTCACAGTTTCATGGACTGCAAAGTGGAATATAAATTGAAACGAATGAAAAAGAAAACTGGACTATTAAATTACAAATGGAAAGAGTAATTAAAATACTAAAAATGAAAATGAAGTGTATGAACGTTTTTATCCTTCTCATAAGTAAGTTAAAATTTTTTTTTATATTTTTTGTAAATTTATTTTTTAATTATTTTTTTACTTCATATTCATTAAATTATTATAGTACAACTTTTTTGCAAAAATTTTAAAAAATAGCAATCCAAAAGAACTCTTTTAAGTTTAGACAATTGTGCTATATGTGGTACTGCATTTAGTATCTTTTTTTACTTTGTCCTGTATATAAAAATAAATAATAGAAGACAGCAATTGATAGGAGCAATCATTTAAAAAAAGAAAAAGGTATGTTGACTGAGTTGCCCTCCCATATCCTCTTCCTCCCACTAGTCCATGTCACATGCTCCTCCCATTCACTTGTGGACTGTGATCTCACATCCTCCTTTCTAACCCCGACTTCCTCCCCCCTCTCCCCATCCCTCAACTCCCCTTTTATATAAGTGCAGAAAAAGTGTAACACACACACACAAACACACACAGAGTTTGGTATAAGTAAAGTCTAACGAGTTTTAAAGAAAGATCTCGACAGACACACACACACACCCATATTAAAGAGGAAGAAAGGGGGAAAAAAAGATTGAACGACTCTCAAACGTTAGCGAAACAAAAGAGGATGGCTGGTTTACAAAGATCTGCTGTATCATTCAGAAGACAAGGCTCCTCAGGTCTAGTATGGGATGACAAGCTTCTGTCAGGTGAATTGGGTCAGCAGCCGGCGCAACCCACCGACCAAAGAGAAGACCACCACCTCCTTCACTCCGGGACTACTGATAACAGCGACAAGCAGCCTCGACAAGAAATACTACAAGCCCAACCCCACGGCAAGCAACAAGAAGCCAAAGAAGAGGTCGCCGCCTCCCGGGTTTCACCAAGAACCGTTGTTGGATCGATTGAGAGGAGCCGATCCAACGGCGGCGGACCCCGTTATCGCACTGGTAGGGTGTCTCCGGCGATAGAGCCGCCGTCTCCGAAGGTTTCGGCATGTGGGTTTTGCACTTGCAGTGCTTTTGGGAAACCACCACCTGAAAAGACTCGTCGGAGACCTCCCAAGCATGCGGGTAAGCGTACGATGTGATTCGGATGTTTCAGTGTATATGTGGGAGTCATTTAAAGTTGGTGTTTTTCCGGTGGCCGGAGATGGGACATTCTGGTTGGGCGGGGCCTCTTATTTATGGGATTAGGTTGTAGGAGTCGTCGGTTGTCAGATGTCCAGTTGTTCAGCTGAACAGAAAGGCTGAGGTGTAAGAATTTTTGGAGCTAAAAACTAAAACAAAATTAATGCTTTTGTCTTTTTTTTTTTTTTGGTGGTTAGTTTCTGGACCAGGTTGTTGTACTCTTGTAGACTGGCGGGGGGATAATTCTGTTTCTTCTGCTGGATGTAATATGTGAATATATTGTCAGAAATATTTCGGAGCATTTGTTAAAGTTGTTTGAGCGTACAAACTACGAAACAAATGTAGCAGCTCAATTCAGAGTCTTTCCAGCTTTAACGGATCTATTTCTGTCAAATTATCATCTCGACCAATGCCATTGGGATTTGCGTTTACTGTCGGTCTTCTAGCGAAAGAAAACAGAATCACCGATTTTCATGCAAGTTTCTAGAAATCACATTCGTCGAAGAAGTATCAACTGTGGCGCCTGAAGAAAATAGCATTGGGTCGAATTTTCGACAGGCTCGCGAGTATGAAATATATATATATATATATAGAGCACACGTTTAATCCTAGTCACGGGTTCTTGGTGGTTTTAGGTTATCTAACCTTCAACTAATCAGCTGGCCGCCAGAGCTTCCGGGCTTTGGCCTTTTGGTACTACAGCATATTGGGAGTAGTATGACTACTTAGTTTCACACTTTCATGGACTTGATGCAAATGAATTCACTGGTGACAATTGAATCCTTTTGACATCACACTCTTACCACTAGTGGTTCAGGCCTAATCTAACTTGAGCGATCCACGATTTACACAAGAAGTTCATTCTTGCGGGCTTCTCCTTTCGACCAAATTCTTGGAATATGTGCAGCAATACACATGAACCAGAAAGAAAAATAAAACAGAGGATGCGTGCTGCAACATCAGATATGCACCTTCTTTACCGCTTTGCGACTCTATTTAGTCGTCCGATAAAACGTGGCTTGCTTACTCACACATGATATTATTGATACCATTTCTGGTTTAGCTGATTTATGGCCGCGGAAACAATCCACAGTATACTACTGAGGCTGAGCCACGTCAGCTTTGCTAATTTTAATTTCTAGATTACCCCCTCCCTTCAAGTTTATAAAACACCATCTTCTTTTCATATTTTCCCCTGATGTTTTGACCAGTCCTCATCACTCATTACATCACCATTCCTAAGCAACAAAAAATTCTTTCATACTTTCTCTCTTATAGGATAGGAGGAGGACTACAATTTTTTCCACCATTGCTATCAAAATACACAACTGGACTGATATAAATTAGAGCAAATGGCTCCGCCGCTGACTACTTTAGTATTATTTTCTCTGTGGTACGATTGAGGTCAAGACTGAATAAAGTTTTTTTTTTTTGAATCCGTCAGACATGATGGCATGTGATCGTTGAAATCTGGTATGGCCAATCTCAACTTCTCTGTGGTTCATCTTTAGTTTATTCCATTTTCCTTTTGTGAGTTCAGCTGGTTTTAGGATTTTGGGTTAGGGAGGGTAAGCAAAGCAAAATCACTGCCGGACAAACTCGGTTTATTTTTAGTGTACTTTCAATTTGAACGCTTGCAATCTACAAACTTCTGTTCTTCTGCATCCAATTCTGCAACCAACAACCTTTTTAAGTAAATTCGGCAGTGCCAAACGGAAGCAGCATGGTGAAAATGCTGTGGAAAGGAAGATTTAATTTTGAACATAACTAAGGCAACTCAACTGATGCCATCGGCCAACTGGAAAGAAGATTTTGTTGCTGTCTGCAATTCACTTGACAAACAAATCTGATACACGCAAACAGCATGTCTACTCAATCAATCTTTATGTTTTTTTTCAGACCAACTTCAGAAAGCCCATGAATCACATGAGGAGCCATGACCCAAAAGCAAATTTTTTTTTTTTTTTTGAAAAGAGAAAGGGGTAGCAACAAAAGTTCATTAATCCTGTCTACCTTTCCAGTGTAATTAGCCACAAAAATTAAACTCGAGAAATAAAAGGCCCAAAACAAGGCGTTACTAGAATAACCCATTAGGGCAGCGTCTGAATCTGTCCTTGAATTACAACAATCTCGCAGGGCCATCATTGGAAAAGAGAACAGCTTCCTATCATTTCTTTGCATTTAGCCAGCTGCAGCATCTATTCTACTCTTTATTTGTACATGGGGTATAAAATAGTAGAAAGAATCGTTACTGGGTGGAAAGCAATGTTTTTAAACTCGGAAGAAGCGTTTTGGTGCAGTATGAGTGTCGCTAGGCAAAAACCCATCATTATCCGCCCTTTTCAAGTTAGAAAACTAAGAAAATCTGAAAAAACCAATTAAGTGGAGTCATTGTCAATCCTTACCAATTTCTCAAGAATCAGCAACAACAGCATCTTTAGAAGTATGGACAGCTGACACTTTCTAATTAGTTGCTCAAATATACTACTAACATTATCCATGCACGGAAAGCAACGCAAAATTGGTTTGGTGTTTCTCCATCTTTGCTTATTTTATAGTTGAACAAGTCATGACTTGCAAGTTGAGAAGAAGCACTAGTATTTCTGTTCATTTCAGATAGCCTTCCTTCTTCTCGACAAGTCCATATTAATTGCCAGTGAGGTTTGTTCCCGATCGTTTACAATTGCTTTCGCCTGAAAGAGTTTCAGACTCTTAGCTTGTATGGCATCAAAGAGAATTATATTGCCCACGATGAGCATGCAAAATCTGATACACGTAAAAAATATACGCCTACAGAATCACTCTTTAATCTTTACACCCACTCCATACAATTTGCATCGATCAAATCAGGAACCATATATATATATGTATATATATATGACCCGAAAGGATAGAAAGAATGAGGGCAACAAAACCTCATCTGCCCTGCCTATCATCATCATCTGGTGCATTTGGGCCTCGTCAGAAATTTCAACCACTTTCGGTGAAAAATGGTATATGCACCCAAGAAATAATAACAATGATAATCCTATCAATGCAGGATGACAAGTTATTGGCTCCTAATGGTGTAAGGTCTGAATTCAATCTCAAATAATTGATATTCTTGCATCAATCCTACCCCAGGTGCAGGAAGTAATATCAACGTTATACATAATCATTCTCTCGTCCAATTATGAATGACGATGATCCTGGTAAGAGCCTTAAAAGGCTAGCTAAAATAATAAGTTCGATAAAACACGCATCCATGAAGTCTACGAAACAACTTGAAAGTCAGTCATATTATTACATAATCCGTTTTTGACCACCAAAGATTGCGAATAATATGTTGTCGTGCAAGTAGGTGCAAATCAAACTCCAATTATGATAGCAGTTGACATTTTCAGAGATATGGCCGATTGTTATTTTGCAAACCAAAATCCAATATTCTCATTCTCATTATTACAAGAAATCACGGCAGGAAGGAAATTATAGGTAGTGAACAAGGATCTTAGCATCTTTTCTGGTTCAACAATGGTCACTTAGGTTCTAACTAGATATATATCATTTCTTTTTCTTCATGGGCTCTTCTTTCTAATTATTTCTTAAACGAATGAAACTTGTAAGATGTTGGTGTCTGGTACGATGTTAATTCACAACCTCAAACTAAAACAAATCATTCATCAGAATTTTTTGACAACTGCCACATATATCTCCGTCTCATTACTGGGCAAGAACAACATATTGCCCCCAACATCATCTTCGATGAGTATCAATAATCCATCCATGTGTGTATTATTAGCTACATTACATATTATTCTCCGGAGTTTTCTACATCACTCATAGATAAGCGTTAGTTAATACTTGTAAGCCAATGCCAAGAACAAATTAGTGCACAGCTCACAGGTGGATCCGGCCACCGTTTGCTACTAACCAGTGACTACAAACATGTTAAGCTTCTGAACTAAATCGAAAGCAATTTTCCGGAGAGGGAAAGGAAGTACGATGCCCTAAAAAAAAGTTTACCGAGCCAAATTAGCATCCAAATAACTTCAGGTCCGTGTTGGATGGCCTGCTTTTGGTTTGTTAAAAAAAAAGTTTGTTTGAAACACCATCTACATAAAGCAGTCACAAATTTTATGTAAATACAAAAAATAAAAATTTTAAATAGGTTACGGGTGATGGAGGTGGGTAGGATGTAGGATGGCGAGTGGTGGAGAGGGAGAGATGAAAAAAATAGATGTTTGTAGTGTTTCGAACAAACAAGTACAATATATATATATATATATATATATATATATATATATATATATATATATATATGTATATATTTTAAAACAACTACAATAAGTTACCATAAGTTTTCAATAAATACTCAACAAACACCATCTGTACAAATCCCAAGTCGCATTGGAGATTCAGAAAAGGATAGGTATTATGCTTGCTTCCAAGAATTTCTTTTGGTGTACGCAAAAGATCTTGAATCGAAAATCTCCTATTTGTAATTCTTTCCACTTTACTAACTCAATCGTCCCCCAAAAAATTAAGGAATACAATATAGGGATGTAATCGAGTCGAATCGAGTTCGAATATTACCATACTCGAGCTTGACTCGACATGCAAGAACGATACTCGAGCTCGAGCTTGATGTTTGTTCATAGAACTCTAGCTCGACTCGCATGAGCTCGAGTCAATGCGAGCCTTATTAAGCTCGATTGAGCTCGAGTTAAAAATTTCATTATCTTGATAATTTTTGAGCGAAAAGATATTGATTTTCATACGACCTAAAATATTTCATAAATTGAACAACTCTTTTGGATATAAGGGTAATTTTATAATAATAATATATTAAAGAATTAAAATTAAAAAGCACAATAAAACTCGACGAGTTTTTGAGCATTACTTTTGGATACTCGAACTCAACTTACTTGACTTATTGAGGCACTCCAACTCGACTTGAATTCGGGTTGATCGAGTTCGAGTCAAGTTTTGACCGACTTGGTCCCAAACAGTTCGGTTCGATTACAGTCCTACAATCTAAAACAGGTAAAGTTGGAGAGCTTTTCTTCCTAGTCAAGTCTTCTGACAAAATGTGATTTTAAACGAGTTGAAAACCTTTGGTTGTAGGCTGCCAGAAGTGTGCGCTATAATAATGAAATTGGATCCGTTTAGGCCCAAGTTCTCACAGCCCAATGTTTGACCCGTTATAATGTAATGAGTAATTGATTCATGAAAAGAATATAAACAATTGAAAGTAATTGCATTTTACGCCGTGGCACCCTCAAAATTTGAATATACAATAATATTAAGCACAAAACAATTTTTGTGAAAAGTTTTTGAAATGTTCTTTTGGTGTATTTTAAAATAGTTTTTTTATTTCACATATATCATATCTTTACAATAATTATTTTTTATAAATATTTTTAAAAATTTAAAAAATAACAATCCAAACTGAAAAATTTAAAAAGTAGCAATCCAAACTGGCCCTTCATCGTGAAACAAAATCTTTCTTTTAGTAATTAAAATTCTTGGGTTAATTAAATTAGATTTACTAAATTCTAATGTTGAAAACAATAGTTAGAACAATTAGATGGCAATAACAAAATTTCTTTGTGAGAGAGATCTTCGAACTTGGTTTAACAGAAAGTGTAAAATTCGAACTACTGCATTATAAGCCTCTGAGATGTTCTAAAACGTCCACGAGGCAAGCCTATAAGATGTCGTCGTACTGCAGAGGAAACTTCTCACCCCCTGCAAAAAAGCAGCCAAATCCAACACGAAGTGGCACTTGTAAGAATATTAACTAGGCGGGAGAAAAGCCCACCCACTCATTTCCCACGGGCCCCGGGGTGGATGGGAAAGCTGAGATCTTCCCCTTTTGTTTGTTTTTCTTCTCATTCTACTGCAATTATTTCCAGCATTTCTCTGTGTTTTGTGCAGAGAGCTAGCATTATATTCCTCTTCTTGAATTTCACAAATGTAAGTGGGGTTAAGTTTGACCCTCCAATCCAGCTCCCAGGTTCAAGAACGTCTCAGTCTGTTTCGAACTCCAGCACTGTACTCTACATTCATGATTTTGGGGCCAGAGGAAATGGGATGAGTGATGACACTAAGGTATCACTGTGTTGTTATTATTTTTCCGTGCCACCTGTTCAATTTAAGTTTGTTATGATTGTGTTCAGCTGTGATTAATGCTAATTTGGATAACCTTAAGGTGATAATGAGACACCCCTGATTATTTTGAGCTTTATGTGTGTTCATTGTTGCTTTCATGAACAGTTGCTATGCTGCTTAGAGCATTTTTCTCTCTGCAGTACTTAACAGAGAAAACAAAGTAAAAATGACCTTTTTTTGGATGCAACTCGGCTGTTTTCCTGGTCGCTTTATCTCAATAATAGTTCATGCTATAACTTCGTTTTCTTTTGAGGTGCATTTTCAGCTCTACAAATGGGGATATCCAAGTTCTCATCTTCTGGGTCAAGGTCTCAATCCTGATTTTGGAAATGTGAAAAGTGAGTGGTTAGTGCCCGGTAAAGAAAGAAAAATTGTTACCACTTATAAATACTACTAGGCATGACAAGGATTATGGATGTGACTGTAAACATGACTTTTTCAATTTCTGTTCATGCCTTTACTAATTTCATCAAGGAAATTTTGCTGATTCTGTTTGGTACCTGAACCTGAAATCAAAACTTTTGGTAATAGGAAGAGGACTTATCTTTCCTTCAATCTATTAAAATCAAAATTTTCTAAACCAGGCTCGTCAGTTCCTTTTATCCTGTCTAAGTGACTTCCTCAGAGATGTAAAAGGTTTGTAGTGTTTTAACTTCGCCTCGACAGAAGAATATTCGTGTCTACTATGATGAAACTCATTGTGATGTTGATTTATGTTCTGGATTTGTTCAATAATTACTCTTTTTGGGCTAAGGCTTTTCAAAAGGCATGGAAGATAGCATGTTCTTTGTCATCTGAAGCAAAAATTGTAGTCCCTGCTGGAAAAAAGTTTCTGGTTCGACCAATTGATTTTTCCGGGCCTTGCAGATCAGGTTTGACTTTATGGGTAAGAGCTGGATACAATTTCTTTATAGAGGTTATCAAAAAACGCATTGCAGGGTTCAATATGTTGTCAGGCAGTTAAATAGCACTCATACTGTTCAAATTGGTTGCATTGTACTATATGCCTAGATTTCTGTACGATTGTAGCACCCAGGGATCCGGATGTTTGGGACGGCTTGGATCCTAATAAGTGGCTTTACTTTCATGGGGTGAATTACCTCACAGTGGAAGGTGGAGGGACGGTTGATGGGAGTGGCAAGGAATGGTGGGCTCGATCTTGCAAGATTAATCACACAAATGTATACCATTGCATTACTTTAATATTCCTAATATGTCTCTTTTCGTTTTCTTTTCCTTTCAAAATTGCAAGTTTCTGATGTAAGATGTGTTTATATATGGCAGCCCTGTCGACGTGCTCCAAAGGTTAGCACACCTTTGTTCTCCATGCCCTCTTTATCTTTATTCTCTCACTGAATACATACCTAATTTTGTAGTTTCTCTTTTGATAGATATTGTCTATGTATTTTTGGGGCACAGGCGAGGAGTAAATCTATGGCAGGCTATTCTCATGCACAACCTAATATGAATTACAATAACGTAGTGAAGGAATTTCTTTGAAAAACTAGAATCCCAGGGTGGAAGGGGCTCTTGAAAGTAAAGGTGGACAAGTGAATGGCTAGTTTAGGCTAGCGGAATGAGGACAGCTTGGAGAACATTTTTCCTTAATGAGTTCTATAATTAACAATGCAGGCCATAACATTCCACAGATGCAAGAATTTGATCGTGAGGAACATTATGTCAATTAACAGTCAGCAGATGCACATGGCATTTACTGGTTCTAAACAGATTGTGGTATCCTATCTCAGAATTTCTGCGCCTGCACATAGCCCCAATACAGATGGAATTCACATTAGTGCATCAAAGAATGTTGAAGTTAAGGATTGCATTATAAGAACAGGTTTGTTGGCTGTCTTAGTACTCTGGCTACATGTTAGGATTTGTTAAAAAAAAAAATCCCACTCCCATAAAAAAAAATAGAAGAAAGAAAGAAAGAAGAAGAAAGCATTCTTGCTTGTTATTGACACTTGATGCTTGTATGCCATCTTGCAGTTTTTTGGGTGATGTATACTTTACACCACAAAAAAATTTGAAACTAGTGGCACTGAGAGTTAAGTTGGACCAATTGGTCTCATTGTAGATCTATGACATTCCAATCATTTCCAGACTAGATTTGTTATTGTCATCTGTAAATGCAAAATACTTTGAAAGGCTAGGTCAAATCTTTAGGAGATGAATTCATAGTTTCTGGGGTCAAAGTTGTCCAGAAATTTCATGCAAGTCAGAGGAATATTGGTGAAGGATATATGTTAGCTTCATCCTCAAAAATTGCAGAGATTTAAATAGATCAATAAAATCAAGATAGCTATCGTTATCCTTGTATATATATATATAGTAAAATGAAACCAACTTACTTTCTGAGCTAATATGCTGGAATCACAGTCTTAAAGTAGCTAGGGGGTCTACTGTAGGTTGAATGCTGATCATATAATCCCTTATTTACATTAATTTTCAATCTTGCAACTCTACTTCTGTAGGAAGTGATGGTTAAATATAATTCAACTTGCTCATTTAATTCAGTTACTCTGTAGATCAGACATGAAACTGGTCAATTCAAGGTAAAGGTTGTTTCATCTCAATAATGATAGCCCTGGAGTACAATAAATAATTCAACTATCTGATTTTGCACACTCATTTGCATAATGCTAACTCTATACTAGTTGTGAAATGTTGTAGTTTCGTTGCAATTTTTGAACTCCTAAGATTGACGATGTGAGGACTACTCACTCATAATGCTAAAGTGGTTTGAGACGATTGTATTAAGAGAAAGAGACGTTTTCCTTCTTTTGTACTTTTCTCCTACTAAAGATCTTATGCTCTTTGAGCTGAGAATGAAGCTGTTCTGAGTTAAAATTCTGCAGCAGATACCATTCTTCTTAAAAGTATCCCTATATTTTTTTAGGAGATGACTGCATATCCATTGTCAGCAATTCTTCAAAAATTCTTGTTGAAGGGATTACCTGTGGACCCGGGCATGGTATAAGGTAATAAGCTCTTGATTGTTACTTGGAACCATGCTACCAGCAGAACCTCTAGAAATAATATCTGTTTCGTAGTATTGGAAGCTTGGGGAAATCAAATTCACGGGACCAGTGCATGACGTCAAAGTTAATGGAGCAAATCTGACGAATACTGAGAATGGTGTAAGGATCAAAACATGGCAGGTAATCTTCCTTTCAAGTTCTGTATCTGATTCATTTTCCATGCAACTGAGCAGTTGTTATGGAGAATGATATTAGTAACCCACAACGAGTCGATTTTTCTTTCACTAACATTTGACATGATTTGCTTTTACTAGAATTAGATCTTTCCTGAGTACCTAATCTCATTTTCCTTTGACCTGTCTTTCAATATTAGGGAGGCAGTGGTTTTGCAAGGGGATTACTTTTCAGAATGTGTGGATGGAAAATGTTTCGAATCCTATCATAATAAATCAATACTACTGCGACTCTTTTGTGCCCTGTGCAAATCAGGTAAGAGATCTATCAAAAGCTTGAGCTTGATGGTAAAATGATAATCATAATTCTGAATGTGATTAAGATAATAACTTTCAATGTCAATGCCCATGCACCATGTCTAGAGTGTAGATCTCTCTCTCTCTCTTGTGCTCTAACCCTTTTTTCCTTTGCATCAGCGAATGAGTTCATCAAGCTTTGCAATCATACGCCTGATTGTGATTTTTCTAGCTTTTGATAGCCACAGTAGAATAAATATTTTTAATATATAAAATGCTGAAATTATTTCACATCGAAAGTTCATGTCTACATTTATTTATTTAATGTAGTACATATCCATGGAACTAAATGCTGATTCCCTTGACCCTATCATCAAGGAACTTTATAGAGTAGATATGTGCTTTGTTGGGATAAAATCTGCCCTTCATTTAGTAGCATGCTTCAAAGTAAGATACTCTTTACCTAATTTTTTAATTGACAGGCTTGCCTTTACCTGTAATTTCAGTCGTAGTCTATATGTGTTGTCATCTGTACTATGCGTTACCATTCTAGGCTCAAGGACTTTAAAATCCATTGTGCAGACTTCTGCGGTCAGCATCAACAAGATATCATTTGTTGGTATAAAAGGAACTTCAGCCACAGAGACAGCAGTATCATTTGCATGCATGTAGCGACAGCTCTCCATGTAGAATGTTATATCTTGAAGATGTCCAACTCACTTCATACACTGGTGAAATCACTACGTCATTTTGCTGGCAAGCTTATGGCTCGAGCTCAGGTCTTGTATATCCCCCTTCCTGCTTGTTATCTTCCTGCAATAATCGCATCATTCAGCAGCAGGCTGAGTCTGGCTCAATCCAGTCCATCTGAAGATATTTACCATTCTCCAAACGTAAAGTTTGGGGATGGAGCCAGTATTAGTATGTTGGTTCACTTAATGCCGCTTAAAGGAGTGCCATTACATGTCTTTTAGTACAATATAATCAGATGTCTAAAGCCGGAAGAAGATGAAGTCAGTTTACAAATGCCAATAGGTTTTAGAATTGCCTTCCAAATGCGTGTATTCTTTTCATACAGAAAGACCCTTCATTCATCAATGCACTATACATCGTAAATGCATTTTATAGAATTTTTGTACAGTAAATTGTCTAAATCCTCTTCTCCAAGCCATACTCTTTCCCCCTAACTGCCAAAGTTGCTGTCAAGCATATCGTGCAACAGCAGCTGAAAACCCATGTTTAACATCTCAGTATTACTATTTCCAAAACTTCACGGAGTACATAAAATCTCATTCTACTGGTAAGCGGTAATAGATAAATCAACTCTAACTCTGAACCATTTTATCCAAGATAACAGATGAAAACTCAAAAAGAATCCACAGAAGCATTTAACTAAGAGAGCAAGCGCACGCCCAATTTTGGACATCCAGTAGCAAGTGGTAGGTCCAAGTTTTCTACAGTTCTAAACGTTCTTGGAACCATCTTGTCGACATACAGAGTACCATCTAGATGGTCACACTCATGCTGCAAAATTCGAGCTTGCCAGCCTGAAGCATCAATTTTGATTGGTTGGCCAGATTGATTCAATCCTGTAACTTCTACCTCTAGGTAACGTTCCACAACAGCTCTGAATCCGTCAACACTGCAAAAACATAAAATCAGAAAACCGTAAAATAAGATCCACTGTGATGTTTACCCATGAAGATTAGCTGTGCAAGTGTATGAATGTTGAAAGCTCTTTGATTGATTAGGAGCTCAAATCAAAGAGTTCTTGAATAAACCACATACAATGTGCAAAAATAGGTTTTATATTTGTATGAAAGAAAGAAGAGTCATCAACATGTGGTCAAAAGGGCTACAGGATGCTTAAAGGAACTCTCACTTTTATGTGCTAAAGTTTAAGACTCCACATCTTATGGGTACAGCTGATAACTAAAAAGTACACCAGGATGTTGTGTAATCTTTAGCATTTTTTATACCATGTATGCAAGTATAAACAAGTCAGAAGTGTTACTTTCCACATGTAGTAACAAGTTCACAAACATAACTAGATAAACCACATCCCAGGTTTTCAGAAATTTGTTCCGGTTCTGCTTCAAACCCTCAGGTATGATATGCAACTGAATAAGCGCCTAGCCTAGAAAAAATGTGACCATGTGGCCCTTCAGCGATGTTGTGAGAAGAAAATGGCCAGGAAAATCTCATACTGTCCTCAAGTGTGCTGGAAAGTTGGACGTATTGACTATAAATTGTCAAAGCATATTTAATTTCCAACAATGCACCTCAGTTCAGCTCGATTCATCTCATCTCATCTTTTAAGTACGAAATTGAGAAAAAACTAGGAAATTCATGTAAATCATTAGTATTTGAAAAAGTTGTTTTAAGCTAAAACAATTGAATCTCAGGTGCACTTTCTAGTCTATTTCGAAAAACCCAATTCAGCGACTATCTTCAAAAGCATTAACTAATCAGAATATGTATCATAAAACATTGCCAAAATGAATTATGATCCCAGATCATCCAGGTATGTTCATGACGGATTTCCGCATGATGACAGGATGTCTGAAATTCGCTAGCTTGAGACTTAAACAAATCAGATAAATGTTTCCTCAACGAGCAGAAACAAAAAAGCCAACGAAATCGCAAATGCAACAGACATACTGTAAAACACAATGCAACAAAACTAGATGGTTAATTATACCTTAAACAGCCTTCAAAAAATAATGCAGCTTTTTTCCCCTTCTTTTTAAGCTTTGGATTAATAATAACCTGCATCAAAAAAACCACGATTAACAGTTTAGCACTAGTCCAATTCCAACAGCCAAAATCAATTCACTTCTACTATTCTGTACAATACCAAAAGTTCAAAGGGCCGCCTGTCTTGTGCTTTAATGTCATCCTTAGGAGCATAACTTATATACTCTTTAGTATCTTCCAATACAATTATCTGTTAATAAAAACAATCATAAACCTGACAATGTTAAAATAGCCCGCTTCAGCTGGATCAAAAAACGAAAAAAAAAAAAAAAAAGAGTTTTGCTAGAAATAAACAGACCTTTAATGAATTCCAATCTGGGGCAGCAGGCAAGGCCAACCCAGGAGCCTTCCTCATGACTTTAACCATATCCTCAATGATCTTCTGGATCCTTTCCGACCCAATTTCGTCGGTCTGACTTCCTGGGCGGTTCATGAAGAACTGGGTCACCGGCTTTCACAATTTCCGGCAAGACCTGCTTCTTTTCCGTCAAACCCAGAAACCAACCGGCGCGAGCGCGAAGTAGAAGAGCTGCTGCGACTGTAAGTTTTAATGGATGCTGATGTTATTAAGTTGCTGCACAATGCGGGTTCCTGGTGAACGCGACCGGTTTGTGAAAATGGGTTTCCGAAAAGTTAATGCTGGGCGGGTCGTCGTCAATGGGGTTTTGGTGAAGGTTTTCTGGAGGCATTTTTGTGCTACAATGGGCACGGGAAAGAGGCGGTGAGTGAACCGTTGAACGCCTTCCATTCTGCAAAAATAATTAAATCTGTAATTTTTTTCTGGGTTCTCGCCCGATTCCATTTGATCATGTTAACGCTCTTGGGCTGCTGGGCAGGAAAATAATGAGTGATTGGGCCTCATATAAGACCCATGTTCTCTGATAAGGCTTCTGACTTCAGATATTTAGTCGCCAAGGCCCAAGTGAATTGTGAAGGTCAGGAGAGGTTCTTTTATTTTTTTCAGGTTGGCCAGATGCTGCTGATGAACCAACTGCATTTGTTGAGATTAGATTAGGATTTTTGTTCCCAAGATGCATCTTAATTGAACGGGATTCTCAAACTCTGCCGCTTTTCCGTTTCACTTGTAAAATCTGGAGTCTCCATTAAATAAAAAAAGATTAGCATCTTTGATCTGATGGAGGAGGATGTCACAGTAGGCTAAAGTGCACTCATTAATTTATGGGCTTACTTATGCAGGCTAAGCCCAAAATTACTAACAGCTGTATTCAAACTTGATCTGAAAGAAATGTACTACTGTGTAATTCTCAAAAGTGAAATTCATAAAAGAATTATGTTCAATAAAAAGTTAGAATCGGTAACTAATTTTGGATTAATTTTATATACATTCACACTACTGACAATATAATATATTCTGTAAGGTGATCGTTAGTAGTGGGCCTCCCCCAACAAACAACTGAAAAAAAATATTATTGGATTGAAATCCATACAGCTGTGCGTGCACTTGTCTGGTCTAATGTAGTTCATTCTCCGTCAGGTTTCTCTGACTCAGTTGGACCATTTCATAAAGTAGGCTCTCCCCTCCTTAGGAGTAGGAGTGGGTTAGATGTGCCGTTACGAGGAAAAAAAAAAAAAAGCTTCTTCTAAATACCCTGCGATTCCTCACTTGTGCATTACTAATTTACTATCAACCTATGAGGTGGTAATTATCTACATCTAACCCAAAAATTTCTGTAACTCATATGTGACAACAACATAGAAGCTAGATCTTTCGGTTGACTTCTAGAAAATTTCGAGTCAAATTGCATAGTTTGGCAAGTCCTCCAAACTGGCAGTGTTGGAATAATGAACGGGGGATCTATGACTGACCTATAAATTGCGGAACGTTAAAAGGTTTGGCAACAATCATTAGATAAAGGACAAAATTAGGCTAAAGGAAGATCAAATGCATTAGTGTCATAGACATGTCCATATGTAGATTGTAGATCAATAATCGTAATGCACTTATCAGTCACTGTGAATAATACAGGTTTTACGTAGTTTTATTCTACAAAACTACAAATTATTACTTGATAATCTGATATGGTTCAGTGCCTAGGCTCTAAGCTTTTTCAAATTGACTCTTGTCATCCTAATTCTTGTTTCAACTTATCTTCCCCTTCCCTGTTAGGAGAAGAATTGCTTAATTGATCATTCATTTCGGGTATCACAGCCTGTCATCCCAATGCCCACAATGGATCTTTTAATGGAAGTCAAAGCATTTGCAATCTGCATTATGTCCATTTCCTTTGCCCCTTGTTCTGGAAACATCAATTGAAGAGCTATCGCGTACTGAGGAGCGTACCTAACAAGCTCTATTTAGGCATCGGCCGCCATTCAGGCAGCTGTAGATATACCATTGCCCATCCTCTTTTTTAATGCTCAATCTAAGCTCTATCTACTTCTAGTATTGGCATCTTTGGATATTGGCCAATACCGACGTTAAGAGCCAGTTGAGATTGCTGTTTTCTCAAATTTTTATATAAAAATATACTAGTAATTAATGTATACGAGATAAAAGGATGTTCGAAAAAATATTTATAAAAAATACTTAAAATTTTTTTTTATGAAAAAATTGCAATCTGCAGTTGGATTCTGCGGTCTCAATCACTCAACCTAATCATTGATATTAGGTAAGGAGAGTGGATCTAGCTGTAACATGTCAATCAATAGTCTCAATTCCAATTATGCAACAAAGAGGCCATCTCTTGCACTCAAAGGAAAAGCATGCATGCAGCACAGCTTGATTAGAGAGAAAATGGTGCCCAATTGTCGGTGAATGACTATGCCACTCCTTAAGCCGTACGTTTCCAAGGTCGAGAATTTCAGAGGCACATTCGTGCGCGTGGTTTCAAGTATTTCTTTCGAGTCTTCAAAGGCGGCGCTCTGGGAACGGCTTCCGGGGTGCCACCAATCTTTGGTCATTTGTTTGCCCTGCCTCCCACGCGAAAGAGAAACATGTCCAAATATGATTATTTTTATGAATGAATTATATGAGCACATCTGAACCATCGAGTTTTGGCTGTATAGCCACCAAAAATGAATTAAGTACCTCTTTCAGCTGTAGCTGTAGCTGTAACTCGGAGGTTTAGATCTCATTTACTGTAAAAAAAAAATTTCAAAAGAAGTGACAGAACACACTTTTAATCTAATCAAGTTCGTAAATCTATTAATCCGTTATACAATTTTTTAGACTCCTCTTTCCCGTAAAATATGATAAATTATGTTATATAAATATTATCATTACAGCCAAAAAAATTTATATCAGCACCTCTGGATACGTATTATATGTATATAAAAATGAAATTTAAATTTAAATTAAGTGACATGCATCCAAAGTGGCAGGATATATGTGGTCAACGTATATGAGATTGATCTTCATTTTTTTCAACTTCTACAATAACACGATTAGAATTAAAGATATATGCATTAACAAGTAATTGTGATATCGGAAGACTTTTACACTTTCTTGGGTTCTAGCATACGAACTGTCCTTCATATCCGTTGAATTATCATAATTGATATGCTAAGAAATTATTTTTGGCAACACGACATAATAGTGAACTGACTCATGTAAATAGAATTTTCTCTCATACTACAAGTAGAGGCTAAGTTAAAAACTTTTTCACTATTTTCCGGTTTTTATCTTTGATTTTTGGTGCTTCCAAGAAACGAAGCCTAATTTTGACTTTTCATGCAGTTTTTTGAAGTCATCACCAACCTTCCACAGCTGTGCCTTCGTGATAGACTAGTCTACATGTCTATGACGCGGAATCATCTCCCATAATCTAATTAATTATGATGACAAAAGCGGCTTAAGTCACCAGTGCACCAATCTTTATTGTCTCTATAAATATGGGCAATTGACGATAAGCTCAACGGAACAAGTAAAGAGATAACCAACCGTAGGATATCAAGAACTCCAAAGAAGCTTAAAGAAATGGAGAGCTCCAAAGCAACCCTCTACCTTCAGAGGCCAAAAGCAGTCGAGGAAGCTGATAATAAAGAAGAGAAGACAAGTCATGGTCCGGTGAGGAGGGTAGCGGAGCCAAACGGCAAAAGGTTACTGGAGAGAAAGCCAACGGAGGATATAAATGCGAGCGCTGAGGCATTCATCAACAAGTTCAGGCAGCAGCTGCTCCTTCAGAGGCTTGAGTCCATTGAGAACTATGAACAAATGCTCAAAAGGGGCACATGATTTAAGTGTCGAATATCATTGATCAGCATAGAGCATAGCCCCCACCTTATTCTTTTCAATAATCTCTTCCATTGATCCACTGTCAATTTTTGTGTCCCTTAAAAAAATTTGATTTGTGCTGTGCATCTACTCTTAATATATAAGACATTTTATATGGGGAATTTATATTTGGGATTGTGTGAGACTATGATTGCTTATTTTGTATCTTAATAATAAGCAACTCTTTGCCAGATGCCCGAGTAATTATGAATATGATATTTCTAACGATGCTGTTAATATGCTCATATTATATCATAACTTAACGTGTAAACACGCACAATTATAATTATTACACTCTTCCTTTGAAAAAACTTTTGTAAAGTAATTGTAATTCTCTGAAAAAAAAATCTAACACCTAAAGATTCTCTTAATTATAGGAATATCTATTAATTCCGTCAGCCAAACTGTTTGTTTGTTGTTAGAATTAGGGAGTAAAATGATGCACATCGTAAATTTAGTTGAAATCCTGCTTATGAGATGGACAAGCAATTTTAAGAAAGGCCGGAAAAGATGCCAGCTCCCTAGGTGGAGACTGGTTGGACAAGCCATGTTGGACCGCTCCATTAGGAAGCCTCGTTTGCGTGGCTAGTGTTGGTTTTAGTCCATTTATAGTTTTTTGGGTCGGAGTCCATTCTACAATCCCCTTAACTATCAGTTTAAGTAAGGTCCATTTGGTTCATCCCCATACTTATATAGCATGACATAAAATAGGACGAGCAATCCCATGTCGTCCCTGATTTGGTTGTTTTTGTGTGTGGATTAGCATCCTGGTAGGTTAACTAAAATAATCCCGTCTTAATGGGATAAATATTCTGGACGTGTTATTATTTATCCTGAATTAGTAATCATTTTGAACTAATTTTGGTAAGTACGTGTTTATATCAAATCAAAACTTTTCAACAACAAAATTAGAGTTGTTAAAGAATCGAGCTAGCTTGTGAGTTCAACTCTGTTTAGCTCGTTCGTTTATCTAAACGAGTCAAGTTTGAACATTAAATTAGGCTTGTTTTCTAATTGAACTTAGCTCACGAATAGTTCGTTTAATCTCATTTGTACATATATTCAAATTAGTATTTCTTTTTTTTTTGGGTGATTATGAAGATTTAACCTGTCTCGATTGTTTCGGATTTTACTTTGTTTAAAGAATTAGGAACTTTCTTATACTTGGTGAAAATTTTCTCATTCAATAGAGTAATTAAACTGGTTAACTTTTTTGAGTTGCAAAATTGCATAAGATATTCAAGCACATTTGAAGTTTTTTTTGAGTTTGAACTCATTTGATCTTGACTTGCTTATGTTATATGAGTTGAGTTCGACCTCAAGTTCAATTTAGCATAACTTTAATGAGTTGAGTTTGAACATAATTTTTGACTCGGTAAATAAACGATTAAACGAGTTGAGTTTGATATTGACTTGTGAAAAGCCAAAAGCTAAAAGTTCAGTTTAATTCGACCCGTTTTCAGCTTTGCACAAAATCGAACTTTTTTATGCATTACTCCATGAACTATCCAATACTAACCAAACGTAATTCAATACTTAAATATAATAAGATCAAATCTTTACATGTGTTAGACGTGTTTGATAAACAAAAAAATAGAATATTTGAATTAATTAAGTGGTACCGAATTTTCTAAACAAAATTTGCTCTAAAAAATAAGTGATAAACTATTGAGTTATCACTTAATGTAAGATACACTCAAATGTATCAAATTTGATACATAACAATAATGAATTCAGAATTTAGATTTTAGTTTTTAGATTTCAATTTTATCAAATACACCCTTGGTATATCAAAAAAGGACGAGTCATCTCAGGACAATTAGTCCCCGTATTAGTTATTACTCATCCTCCCTCATCCATGATCCAAATGAGCCCTTACAGTATATAATCTTGGCGTTTACATTTTGTCATTTATATAAATATTAACTTACTAACTTTTCAATTAAAAAAAAGATACATTAATCTTAGCTCATTGGGTTTCATGATAATTAATTGAAATTTAGCTTCATGGAAGACTGTTAAAAAGATCAACTCCATCATAAAATTCCTGGAATGCGCAATTCCGATCAAGAAATTCACGGATAAGGACCATACGCTTGATTAATGAAAATGAATGTACTCCCCGACAACGACAGGATAGCGGCGTGCCTTCCTCTTCCTGGTTGGGCCTTCCTCAGGAGAGGCGCTCATGTCCAAATTCACTGCGAACGAACGAACGAACGAGAACCGGGTGTCATGCACGGGTGGGCCCAGTTCTCTTAAAAATGAACGGAAACCAAATGACTTGTTCTATGGAAGATTTTTGTTTCATATCCAAGTAAAAAACGGGGAGAGGATTCTTGCTCGATATAGTAATTGTACGTTTCGACGTCAATCTTCAATGTCCGCACCATCAAAGGAGGAGATTGAATTTGTTGCTGAAACAAATTCCTGATTCAACCAATCCTATAGAAATTGTTGCTTTAGGCTATAGTCTAGCTGCGTGATTGCTCACCTTTCTTCGCATCAAGTGTCACAATAGTACCAACCAAAATTTTTCATCAGAAGAAAAGCTTGACTGGCACAAAATTCCATTGGTTACCCAAGACTAATTACTAGTAAAGATTTTACACCACTTCAATCGATGTCAATTAATTTTGAGACGAATTTTGGGTTGGTTTTTTTTTTTTTTTTTTTTTCTATTCAAGTTATAGTTCTTTCAAGATTCTAGTCCAGGTTCTTCAACACTTGCAATAATTTATTGACCCGGAGCTCGATCCCAAACAAGTTGTTGGTTAAGGTACAGATAGATGCTAGGTGCATACAGTAAAAGAGAACTTCGGTTCCATTGAAGGGTCATCGGTTAAGCTAGCAACTGATTATTTTATTTATGACCTTTCACTTCCAGACAAATCCAGGGAGCTGGATAAACAAGAAATTTACGTGCATCCCACAAGAAATTTAGCTGCTGATGCCTATTACAGCGGTAGGGAAAAGGGAGGAGACAGAAATTCACGACCAACAACAGTCACATCAGACGCAAGCTGAGCATCTCATTTGGCGGATATTGTCGTTACTAAACCTAACCAGGCCAAATTGCTATTTGCTACACATGAAAAACACCTGCTACGACTACATAGTACAGTGATAGTAGTACTGACAAATTAACAGGGACGACAGGTAGGCAAAGCCAGCGGGCAGCGACAGAAGCTGCGTAGACGCGTATCTGACGTTTCAGCTAATTAATCCTTTGTAACTAAGGTCGCACTACGGGTAGGTGTTGCTGAGCTTGCATCATCTGCAGATTCACTCTTGAGCATGAACGGATCATCTCACCGGCCAATGGGATCACTGGCAGGTTGTCACAGTTGCATATCTCAATCATGAATCCATCTGGATCATGGAAGAACAGCTGATCCACATAAATCCCACCTTCTTCCACTCGCTGCCTCACGTACTTGATTTCCATTTCCGCCAGCATCTTCTCCACTGCAGCCATACTGTCACACTGCACATAGCCCATGATTCAAGCCAATTTTTTTTTTTTGGGGGGGGGGAGGTATAAAATTATACTACAGCAGCAGGAAACCCACAAAATTTAGTGCTGTTTTTGGTTTTTGTGACAATGATAGGATGTCTACAAGTTTGTAACGTAAATAGTACTATTAGGTTACGTTGACAGAGTCCATATCAGGACTTCCTCAACTGAGTAGATAATACGCAAGAAACTGCATTACATCCGGCATAATTCTGTCACGGCATTTTCCTTTTTCCTATTATTTTTGGTACATTTCTTTAACAGAAAATTCTATATTGAATTTTAGAAACCGTCCTCAATTCCTAGTTCCGAAATATGTACCCAAAAGGGGAAGTGGAATCTTCCTTTTTTCAGAGGAGATGACGACAACTATTGTATAATCTATCTATCATAAATTATAGGGAAGGGGAGTCTAAAGAAACTGTGTTTGAAACTAGCAGATACATAAAACTTACTAGATCAAGACAGTGCTTTGGCGCAATCCTTAAATTTTTTTTTTTTAGTGCAGGTAAGATTTAAACTTGCTCAGTGGTTTCCCTTCTTTGATACTATCATCGTATCATTGCAGAAGCACAATTTATCAATAATTTCTGGTCACTTTAGAGAAACCTAGTTAATAGCTGTACCAAATGCTACTAGTCTATACTACCTTCAATTTGGAATCAAAGTTTTTGACTTCATCCAGGTATTCATTTACGGTCTCTTTCTCGTAATCATAGTGCTTTCATGAGATCACAGAGGAGCGGAAAAAACATGGTACGAAATGAAAGAACACGCACACGCACACAGTCACACACACACCAGAGTGAAAGTAGTTGAAGCAAAAAGCAGAGGTGCAGTCATGCACCACCAGTAGCGTTATTAAGACCCCCACCCGAAACACAGACAACATCAGATTTCACAGCACCAATACTAAGACCGAGAAACAACCTGAAAAGATATATGATTATCCTTGGGATTGATTACGGTCTTCTCCGGCATGTCGTCCGGATTTTCGGCTTGCAATAGATGTATTCCAATCCCATAACTAAACAACCTGCACCGTATCAAAACCACGAGAAATTAGCAAAAAAAAAAAAAAGAAGAAGTTCGATCAAGAACTTTCACGGCGAAGATGAGATAAGTTGATATACCATGCTCCATCAAAATTGAACGATCCAGGCCTCCTAACGGGGACGAACCCAAGAACGCTGGTGTAAAATCCATTGATTGTCCACGGATTTACAAATAAGTGAGATGTGATTCAGGGATGTCAAGTGCAATGGATTTGCCATATTTCCCTTCATTTTCTTTAAAAAAAAAAAATGTAATACCAGCGGCACGAATTCAAGGATCGATCGTACAAGTGGAGCCTGCACGTTTAAGAATACTTGGAAAAAATGATTGGAACAGAAAAATGATTGGGATAGACAAACCCTGTTACATAAATCAACGAAAATTCAGCGAATGGATAAAGCTAAGGGGAGAGCAAAATGGGAAAAAGATGAATAAAGATAATCAGAGAGAAAAGGTCGCCCGTCACGGCACTTGTGATACTAGTGAAGAAGATGAAACTAGATGGCCAGAGCTATATATAACTTTAAATAGGTGCAGCAATCCCCCGGGGAAAAAAAAAAGAGAAGAGTAGTCCGGCAGCTATAAATGAGCAAATACATTTCTGTCGACGTATCTACCCCAGTGGTCACCAGGTGTCCCACATGGGATTCATATGACACGTAGATCCTACGCAGCTTACCTCCGATAATCATCTGACGGGTTGAGATTTTTGCGCCTACTCACCAATGATTCATCTGGTGGGTGTCCTCGCTTGTGCACGCTGGCAATCCCTGGATTTTTGCTAATTTTATTTTTGTTTTGCTGCAATTAGGCAGTGCCTTTTTTGTGTTATTTAATGAATTCAAGGGGAAATTTCAAACCTTAAGAGAGAAGGAAACTAAAAAAAAGTTTAAACGTTGAATTAAAGAATTTTCATGATGTCTCTCTCAAGTCTACAAATTGAGCTGAATTTCAAAATTTAAATTAATGTGTATATACTATCATCATATATCACATCAAAGTAAAATTCAAATTTTATTCTGTCATGCATCTAATCATAAAACAGTGTACGCACGTATTTAACAATGACAATGTATATATTTAACTCTTAAAACATTAGGCAATATCTTTACTACATGCTGTGAAAAGTTAAAAAGGAAAGAAGAAGTTAATATGTAGATATGCTTCCAAGTTTTCTTAACAGATCGGGATGAAGAGTTTAAGATTTTTCCTTCAAGGAAAAGGCGAAATATTGTAGACTTCAAAGAGTACTACTATTGCTTTGAACAACTTATTGTCTACGTATTTTCCCCTTAGTAAAAGAAATTCATTGAATGCGTTCAGCGTTTCACCAAATTAATTCGTGCACGAATGAATTACTTTTATCGGAGGTAGAAAAAGTTACTTAAATTGGTTTATCTGTCAATTAAATGATTTAATCATCGCATTGGCTTTGCTAGCGCGTTTCGAGTAAAAAAAAAAAAACCAATTTAACTCAAAGCATCAACATTTGATTCAAAAATCTAGCGGCTGATTTATGCATAATTTCATTAGAGGCGTACAATCCAACTGCATGTTAAGATGGTGGAGGCAGAAAATTATTGTGAACCAATTCCATGTGATTGTAGGCATTCCCATTTGGGTCTCAACTCTCAGCCACCAATTCTCGGCCATGATTGGCTTGTCATGACAGCAAGATTAGGATCCAGGGCTTCTGCAGCACCCTACCATGCAGAATTTAACACAATAACTGTATACACTAAATTACACACTAATTAATAAAAGTAAATCTGATGTATACGGTGTATACAATATCACGATTGAATATATGATATATACGCAAAATTTGAGTTTCAAATTTAAATTCAATTATGTGTATGCATCCAATGATTAAAGCGTATGCACTGTCAGTATATATATATATAGAAGATTAATCCATATAATAATATATAAAAGTACAATATCACTTTTACTGCTTGTTAAAATTCGTGTCCAAAAGCTTTAATCTCAACCATTAAATTATAAATCACTTCATCTCAATTGTAACTGCAGAAGATCTAGATATCTTAAAATTAACACCATTGGTCCGAATTATTTCTCTCATTTTTTAACCGAGGGAGTACATGTTGCACAGCGGCAATGTCAAGAGTTTTTTTTTTTTTTCCTTTTTGTTTCTGTTTTGCTTTACAGCTGTTATTACAATGCTACCACTATAAAAGAAAAAGAGGACAAAAGGAAGAGAACCACTTCAGAGAATTTGACATTGATGAAATTGGCCACATGATATTCTATTTGCAATTTAAAGCTAGCTCATACGCAACTTATCAAGCAAAATTCTATTTTGTAAACTTATAACAGATTTTTTTAGAAAATTTTAAAACTTTTATTAATTTTAATGTTCTTTTTCTCCATTTCCGTCCACTTTTAGACAGAAAAGATAACTAAACATTTTCCCTCTTTTTCTTCTCAATCCTTTTCTTTCCTTCCTCAAACCAATCCAATCGTCAAAATCCTATTCCTCTATTTCCATTTGTTTCCTTTCCCTTCCATTTGATCAAAACAAACAAACAAACAAACACTTCCTTGGTTAGAATTGGAAAAGAGAATATTTTCAAGGAATCAATCGATATTTGATGTCATCATTTCGCCACAAGGATTTCTAGCAACTCGGCCAGAGCACTCTTCTTGCTCCAATTATTTCTCATCCATAAGCTGCATATATAGGTTAACCGTCATGTTGATCTTCTTCTTCTTTTTCTTTTTTAAAGGTGAATAGGTAACTTTCAAGAACATTTATCTTGCGAGTTGCGACCAACATGAGCAATGAGGAGTAAGGCCCATTAATTGTCAAACGAGGGGAAAAAAAAAAGAGACAGAGAAAGTACTTTGACAGATTCATCTACAAATTGCCATTGGCTTAGACAGAAACATACAAATTGTATAAACTCAGTTATGATGTTTTTTAAAATAAGACCAAATTAATAGATCATCCACTGATACCTTCAGGGCATCTCATGAACAACTACAAAGTGTGTAGCCATCCTTGATATATATTATCTGCAACCTGGCCGCTCCTTCCCTCTGGACATTAGGATATAAAAGAAAGCTTAGAAATTCCTCCTAAGCTAATGCTTTTTTGCGATTGTGTTTTTCTATACAAACTTATTTGCATCAACACATCATACTAACTATTATACTGTTTGTCGTGATTAGTGTTTCTGTAAGAGATCAAATTAGAAAACCAGGTGATACCTGGTCAGGCAGCGACAGCAGGTTCGCCCGCCGACGCTTGACATTATAAAATAGGTAAAGGCATGAACAAGCCAGAAACACTAGTGTCCTAAGTGTCTGGCTAGGAAATTTTGATGATTAATTACCTTATTGCTCCATTGCTATGCTGTGCCTTTTGTGTAGAGAGCTTGGTTATATATATTACATTTTTTTCTTTTTAACGATGCTTGAAAATCAACCAACTTAAAGGGGGATCCACTAAACTCTACTGTCCAGACAATTGCTGATTGGAAGGGGAGACCTTAAGGGGGGGAGGATCTCTCACACTCTCAAATCGATGTGGGAAAGGGGAGAGGGAAACGCTTAGACTGACGCTAGCTATTGACCCTCTCCGTAATTCTTTTTTTTTTTCAGCAATGCTTGAAAATCAACCAACAATGCTTGGTTATATATATTACATGCATGGCCTTGATTACAACATCGATCATGAAAATAATTGCTTTTGCCACCTAGGTATGACAATGATACATTCATTCTCAATCACTCAACTCTACCGTATAAATTCATACTAATATATTAACGATTAATCTTATTTACGCTGACAGTGTTAGATAAATGACAACTATGTAAAATTTAATTTTTACACATATGTTATGAATTCAACGATGATAGTGTATACACAGTCAATCAATGTATATAAGATTTACTCATATATTAATTAATATATTAAACACACACACACACACACATTTGCAGACAGAGTGATTGACAAGGAACTCCGTTGCTTTCATGGTGAATTGAATGAGAACACGTCCGTCCATGTCAACTTGCACTGCCCATTAAACTTTAGGTTGAAAACGACGGAATCAGTTCGTCGCTTGTTTAGTGCTGAACCTTTTCACACAAGTACGAAAGGTTTCTGTTTATTAGGGCTAAGCTCAATGGAGTGATGGACAAGACATCAGTCTTAACTTTTCCGCTCCGCTAGAGGTTGCAACTTACAAGATACAATGCTGCATCTCGAAAGCACTTACCCAAGGGTTGTAAAATCGGGATCCTACGTAGGATCGATTTTAGTTTCACAGGATCGGATCGTAGAATCGTAAGATCCTACCAAAAGCTCCTAATTACAATTAAAGGTTGCAATTCTTTGATAAATTACAAATATACTACAAATATTTTCATTTACTTGCAAAATGGAGCTTCGTATTTCACAAATTTACAAAAAAATTGTAGGATCGTATGATCCTACCGATCTTACACGATCCTACCGATCCTGCTACGATTCTATGCAATCCTACAGAGATTAATATGATTTGCGACTCTGAATACTATCCGGATCGATTTTGATTATCCGGATCGTAGGATCGTACGATTCGGATCGCGATTTTGACAACTATGCACGTACCATCGTGCAGATATCTACGTTGTTTAGCATTAAGAAAGTCAGTATCACTTTTACCTTTACGAGATGAGCACTGATTTTAAGTTTATATGATACTAAAAATTAAAAAAAAAAAAAAGAAAAATTCAACCACCTTATTATTCCACTTCAATGTATTGGGATATAGTATGTGTGTTGCCGCCACTTTCCTAGAAAATATTTCGTGATGCAATTAAATATTAATCTCTTTTTTTGTTTGGCATTAGGTACGACAGAAGAAAACGACATTCAAGGCAGAAAGCATCTGGAGGATCAACGTGGCGTGGCTTCTTTTATAAATAAGAAGCTTGATTAGATTTGTCGGATGACAGTCATTAGCACGTAATTAATGAAGCTGCCTTAATCATGGCTAGTGGCTTGCTTGGTCTCTTTGACAGCATACGGCTGATTTCCAAGAGAGAGGAACCTGCTCAAGTTTACACGTCTTTCTAGTGGCATATGAATCAAGTAACTGGCATCGACAGCTTCCTGCTCAGGTGGGTTTTATTGTTGCCTTATTTCTCAGGCTTTGCTTTCAGAAATAAAGAAAGCGGGACATAATCACATTCTTTCGGTTAACGTTTCGTTAAAAGACTTCTTACTAAAACAAAGTAATAAAAAGCTTGACAGTTGCTGATCTTGACATTAATTTGCTGATGCATGTTGATTAAGGAGTTAAGGTGGTGGTAGAGGAGAGAACAAACAAACTAAGCTTGGCAAACATTTGCAGTGATGAGCGAGAGGATTCTGTGACCTACTTGATATATCAATTTGTTAGAGTACTTGAAACTTGCAACATCTCAACCAATAAAAATGCACAATAATAGTTGGTGTGTGTGTGTGTGTGTTCAGCAGGATAACTATAATAGTTGTACGGGGAAATAGTAGAGAGTCATCATTATTTATTCTCTATATTATAAG